TAAAGGAATACTCAACATGTGCTAAAATTCAAGCATAAGAAAACACTGCGGAACTCCTACTGCTCCTGTATTTTCTCTTATTTCACAATCATTCAGTGTGTCTGTGCATTTGACATGTTTTACTCTCTTCAAACTAGTTATTCTAAATTATTTTCTGTTAGACCCCCAGATTTCCATATGTTCTGATTGATTTCTGAAGAGATTTTATTCTCTTTCAGTCTGTCACTGAATTTAACCTCTTTGGGCATTTGTTTTATTTTAAACTAAGGGAGCACTCTCGGTTTAAAGGACCTTTTTCTTTTTTATTTTCTGAAGCTTGGGTTCTGGTTTGGGTTTGGGAAGACCTGTCTGAGTATAAAAATGTTTGTTACTTACTGGTGACCAGATCTATGATCTGGTTCATGGACAATTCCCTCTAAGGCCTAGCAGGTATGTTGAGTTAAATGGACAATTCCCTTTAGGGCCCAGCAGACCTGTAGGAGTTCAGTGGATAATTCTCTCTAAAGCCCAGTGGCAGGGGTTTGCATGGCACACGCTGGAGGAACTCTTGCTTGAGTGTCAATGAAGTAAGTAGAAGTTTCAGCCTTCCAAGCGTTGTCAGCTGTGTGGCTCCAAGACATAGAGTAGGTATTTGTTTTGCTATTTTGTTTTACAATATTGATTTAGAATATTGCTAATGGTAGGGGTTCATGCATAAAACATCCCAACACCGGTCTCTCAACCAGAGTGTCAGCTTTCCTTCACCGTGGTCCTAGTGCAACTTCTTCTCCAATTCCATACACACAAACACACACACACACACACACAAAGTTAGAAGTTTCTTACTAAAGCCTATTTCTCAGTACTGTTGCCTTTAGGAATTTGGGTTTTCTTCCGGTATAGATTTTACACCGGAAGACACTAATTGTAGTTAAGTGATGGCCTTGGAGGAGAAAGTTGCCCTCATTGCTAAGTCTAGATATATCCAAGTCTAGATATATCACTAAGAAGTTTTTGGAGTGGGTGGTACTTAGCAGTGCTGGGTAACTCTCTGCTGTGCTCAGGGCTTACTCCAGGTTAGTGCTCTGGGCTCACTCCTAGCAGTGCTTGGGGTACCATATATGGTGCTAGAGATAGAACCAGGGTTGGCCATTTTCAAGACAAGTCCCTTAGTCACTGTATCATTTTTCTGACTCACACTAGAACTTTTCTCTAGCCAGATTACTAAAATGCTAATTTTAAGCTAGAGAAGGGCTAGAGAAAATGGTAATTTTAGCAGGCTCAGAGATATTGGGAGGGGGGAGGGGAGTAGCATGGAAGGGTGGTTACATCACAGTTGTGATTGGGAGTTATTCCTTGTTCTGAGCTTAGCAAAAAGTGGTAAATGGAGGACCATGCGTGGTGCTAGGGAATTATACTGTCATGGGCAAGTTGCAAGGCAAACACTTTATCACCTGTACTATTTCTCCAGCCCTTGAGAACTTTTGTAACTTCTGTGAATAAAATTGCTGCAGATAGATATATGGATTCCAGTGCCCAGGTTCTGTCCTTCCTTGCATTGTACCCCAACTGTGTTCATTGACTCAGTGTGAAATACAGTTCAAAGCTCTGCCTCAACATTAGAGATAGGATAGGAGACTCAACTCCATTACAATGGGAAGCAAAGAATAGCAAATGTGATTACATCAAACTAAAAAGCTGCTACACTCAAGTACTTTCAGAAGTAACCCCTGCTCAATTCTCTCTAACTACCCAAGGCATGGCCTGTTACTTTTGTAGAGACATTATAAAACATAGGAGCTCATATATGCAAGTAAATGTTCTACAGCTGAATTACATGTCTATACTCAATTTTATTTTTTAAAATGGTTGTACACAAAACTGGAAACTCCCAACTGAGAAAAAAAACGGTCCATATATCATATATCTGATGAAAGATTAATACCCAAATTATATAAATAATTCACAATTCAACCACAAAAATAATTCAAAGACATATATATGACTCACTCGCACATAGAAAAATGTACATCATCACTTATTATAAAGTAAATGCAAATAAAAATGCAACAGGATATCCCCTAAGTATGGTATAAATATAATATGGTATAAATATCTAAAACAAGTGCTGACAAGATTGTGAAGAAAAAAAAAACTTGGTGGGGGTGAGGGGCAGAGTGGTAGCATAGCAGAGAGGGTGTTTGCCTTGCAAGCAGAATACCTAAATTCAGTCCCTGGCACCCCACATTGTCTTCTGAGCCCACCAGGAGTGATTCTTGAGCTCAGAGACAGGAATCAGCCCTGAGCACAACCAGGCATGGCCCCAAATTCAAGGGAGGTAGGAAACAAACTCTGAATCTGGTCTCCATGGTTGACAGTAATGTAAATTGGGACTGTCTTGTTCAAAATCAATGCAAGGTGAGGTTAGTATGTAAAGTAACAGTGAAATTTTATTCTTTTTTTGCATCATTTTATTAAAAATGAACTTATGACATGGCCGACCCGAGTTCGATTCCTCCGCCCCTCTCGGAGAGCCCGGCAAGCTACCGAGAGTATCTCTCCTGCACAGCAAAGCCTGGCAAGCTCCCCATGACGTACTCATTACGCCAAACACAGTAACAACAAAGTCTCCAATGGAGACGTTACTGGGCCCGCTCGAGCAAATCGATGATCAACGGGAGGGCCTTTACCTTTACCTTTACCTTTATGATAAGGTAACACAGAGAAGTGAAATAATTAGAAGGCACTTTTTCTTATATGTGAAATTAAAATAAAAATTAAAGCATACAAGCTGGCAAAAAGAATAAGGCTACTTCCTAGTCTCAGTGCAGACAATGGTGGTTACTTGAGGGAAAGAGGTAGCAAGTGGGAGAATTGGGTAGAAGGATCTTTTGAGGGATTGGATGGCAATGGAAATTTAATGGAAGATGTGACAAATCCTATACACATATAGATATATAATGTTGTACCCCTGAAATGTCATAACATTATAACCTAATACCTGCTCTTATAAAGATCACTGTCACCATCCTCCCATTTTCCATCGATTTCCTCGAGTGCGCCCAGTAACGTCTCCATCATGAGACTTGTTGTTACTGTGTTTGGCATATTGAATACGCCATGGGTAGCTTGCCAGGCTCTGCAGTGAGGGTGAGATACTCTCAGTAGCTTGCCGGGCTTCCTGAGGGGGCAGAAGCATCGAACCCGGCTTGGCTGGGCTGGCTGCGCGCAAGGCAAACCCCTACCACTTGCTATTGCTCCACTACATAAAGATCATTATAATAAATTCTACATTTAAGTATGTTTTTAAAAATAAAAGCATTAAGAAACTGGAGAAATAGAGCAGTGGGTAAGGTGCTTGCTTTGTATATGGCACAGACACACGGGAATTTAATCCCAAACTCTACATATTGTTCCTCAAGAAAGCCCAGGAGTGATCCCTGAATACAGAGTCAGAAAATAAACCACCAGGTAAGTGCCCAAAACCATACACACACACACACACACACACACACACACACACACACACACACACACACACATACACACACACACACACTTCTTTAAAGCATCAAAGTGGGCATGTGGATTTCACTGAGAATTAATATGAAAATTGATAAGGAACACTGACTCTGAGGGCCATACTGTACATATCTGATAACACCCTGTTTGACTAAAGTCCCAATTCATTTCCTGCTCCCTTTGACAGTTCTTCCTTTTTTTCCAGATCACATGTTCATAGCCTGTCATGTTTTAGAAACAACTACTCTAGTTATGTGTGATTTGGTAGTTTGATCATTGTAATGGTTCCTTCTTTCAATGTGAGTAAAACTATCAGGTCATTTGACCTCAGCAGATCCCTCTGTAATGTTATTGATTTAGACATCTTCTTATTCTGCATAACAAAATAAAGTTGTTTAATATTTAATCACATTTTAGGAAGAGTTATTAAATATTTTCACATTAACTAACTAGTCAAAAATGTTCTAATTCAGAGTGATTCTTTAAGCTTCAGCAGCATGTTAAAACTTTTATAACTTTTATTATAACTTTTAGAAAATATGTATGTTGAGACTACAAATACTATTTTATTCACATAAAATGAATATGCTATGAGGAAATATTACATGTAGTTTTTGAAATACTTTTCTCAATAATAGTACTATTTTTATTGTGGTAAAAACACTATCAGGTGCGACCTAACCTCTCAATCAGCTTTACGAACATAGTAGCACATTGTTATTTATTGGCATAAAGCATTTCAGATCACTAAAACATACTCATCTTGAATAATTACATTCTAGAAATTTTTCTCTTGTATAACTAAAAACAATATTGACTAACAACTCCATCTTTGCCTCTCTCTAAAAATCTGATAATCACAATTCACCCTTTCTTAATAGATAGCACATAAAAGTGTAACCACCTAGTATTTGTCCCTACGTGACCAGTTTATTTCACTGACTATAATATTCTCAATATGGCATATTGAAGTCATGCAAAAGTATGAAATTAGTAGAGGGATGTGACTTTGTGTTAGAACACATGCCATGCATATGTAGGAACTAGACTCAATTCCTAGACTCTAATCATTGATTAATGTATTCAACTTATCTTACGTTAGACACAAAGTCAACTCAAGTATATTAAAAACCTAACATAATATCTAAAACTATAAGACTCTGGTGGGAGTGAAGGATGAGCAACTTCGTTGAAACTATTTTATATTAGACTTAAAATGTGGTATACTTTAGTTGAAACAAACTATAAAAGTTTTGCAATCAGTTACAAATCCCCATGTTACTAAAAATAATCTCATACATAGCATTAAGTTATGTAAGTAGGTGGATGGATTACTAAGAATTTTTAAAAATATAGTACCCCATTATTCTCTGCAGAGTAGATAATATTAAGCACTTTAATAGACATGCCATTAAAGATTAAAACAGAATGTTTGTATTTAATTATTATGAATAATGCTAGTTATTATACTTTTCAGTTATTATATAAATCTTACTTACATCTGTCAGATGTCCAGAAGTTGGTCTAGTGTTTTTGAGCATATATTGTTGGGTAAATGTATCTAATGCTAAGAAAAAAATCAAAGAAACTATTTAGAATATCATCAAAAGTAGTATAAATAAGCAAAATGACCAAAAATTGAGGTTCACCAGTCATATCTTTATCAATATTTTTCTAAAGAAAACAAAGTTGAATTTACTTTAGCAGTAACTTGTACTACTTAAATTTACCTTCAGAGACAACCCAATCATCAAGTAGAACTTTTGCATAAATTATCAAATCTAATTTGCATAATTTACCAGTTAGAAACTAGAAATTGTTTGTTAGTAAACTTATGTGGCAGACACTATTGGTAGCCTACCTAGAACCCACTGCTTTATTTCTTGCTAGCATCACTTTTAAAACTAGAACCTAAAAAAACACATTTAAGACCTCTAAGCTCCTTGAGCACAGCACTATATAGCACTATAGCACTGTCCTCCCGTTGTTCGTCAATTTGCTCGAGCAGGCACCAGTAATGTCTCCATTGTGAGACTTGTTGTTACTGTTTTTGGCATATCGAATATGCCACTGGGATCTTGCCAGGCTCTGCTGTGCGGGCAGGATAGTCTCAGGATCTTGTCTGGCTCTCCGACAGGGATGGAGGAATCAAACCCGGGTTGGATGCATGCAAGGCAAACACCCTACCTGCTGGGTTATCGCTCCAGTCCTTGGGCACAGATATAAAGTCAAATATAAATGATGATGGCTCTCTTCTATAATACGTCAGAATAAAAGTAAAATATGAATATTTCTGCTGGACAACTGAATCCACCAGGAACTTCATCAATGAGATTTAAGAGGAAGTTTGCGAGGGACTTGAGCAATACTAAATTTCAGTACATAAAAACAGTCTTGATGGCAAGCTGCCATTTATGTTTTGGACAAAGTTGTGTTGGATTACAAAGCCTGCGGCAACATCTTGGATTTATAAAAATACACCACTGAAGCCTGCAGCCAACACGTGGAGGACAGCTGAGTGAAAAGATGCGAGTCAGAATCTGACATCATGGGACAGCTTGCTTCTTCTGACATAATAAAACTTTCTCCTTTAAATCATCTTTCCTTTACTGCTGTCAAGAGCATTATAAATAATATATATATATACATATAAATATCATAATATTTAGAACCATGGAATTTTACATGTATCCACTTTATTACTAAACACATTTTGATTATTTTTCCTCTTTAAGTTAAATAATCCTCATATAATTTTACTTCAACTGTTGATACATTCACTGATATTTTAAGGTCAAAATATCATTTTCATGCCTCAGAGATAGTACAGAGTTTAAGGTGCTTGCCTTGCATGCTACTAAGCTCAAGCACTTTCAGGAGTGATCTCTGAGTCCAGAGTTAAGCAAAGGACCTTCTCACCACCAGATATAGCCCAAACTAAAAAAACATAAACAGTTTTCAGACAAAATATATGTCATCAGTAAATAGATAAAAGAAAATCTTAGTTTCCTTAAAAGCCAATACTTAAAAATCATGATGTAATTTAATATGCAAAAAAGTTAATCTAAAATAATTAAACAGCTACATAGTACTCCATTGTGTAAATGTACCAAAGTTTCTTTAACCAGTCATCTGTTCTCGGGCACTCAGGTTTTTTCCAGATTCTGGCTATTGTAAAGAGTGCTGCAATGAACAAAGAATTGCAGATGTCACTTCGACTATACCATTTTGCCTCTCTGGGATATATTCCCAGGAGTGCTATAGCTGGGAAATTTATATACAAGTGGTACTACATGGGAAGTATCATGTTAAGCGAAATGAGTCAGAAAGAGCGGGATAGACACAGAAAGATTGCATTCATCTGGGGAACATAAAGCAACAAAATGGGAGACTAACACCCAGGAATGGCTCAGATTAGTACCAGGAATTTTGCTCCATGACTTGAAGGCCAGCCACATGTGCTAGGTGAAAAGGAAGATCAGATAGAGAAGAGAGCACCAAATAAAGGGTGTTGTGAGGACCCTCCCAGGGTGGGAGAAGCATGCTAAAAGTAGTCTATAGACCAAACATGATTGCCACTCAATGCCTCTCTGGCAAAACACAGTACCCAAAAGAAGAGAGAAAGAACAAGGGGGAATGCTCTGCCACAGCGGCAGGGTGGGACGGGGGGATGGGGGGTGGGAGGGATGCTGGGACCCATGGTGGGGGAGGATTGGCACTGGTGGAGGGATGGGTACTTGATCATTGTATAACTGAAACCCAAGCACAAAAATTTATAAGTCTATAAATGTACCTCATGGTGTTTCACTAATAAAAAAAAGATTAAATAAAAAATAAAATAAAATAAAATAAAATAATTAAACAGCTAAAAGTTAAAACTCAAACCATTTAATGGTTACAACACAATAAAGACAACTTAAGAAGATAGATAAGCAAATACATAAAAATAACATAGCACACCCTAATGCTATAATGAGAACTGAATCTGAAATAAGAAATATCTGAGAACAAATATGATAGCTCTGGACACTGAAAACTATATGATACAGTTCATTTACCTACATTTATTCCCCATTATACGATTTGCTTATTTCTTCCACTGCCCTCACGTTGGAAATTCCAAACTATGCTTACCTAACACTGAAAATTTAGGAAACTAAATTTAAGTACTTACAGCAATTATTTAATGGGAAAAGAGAATTGGTCTGTCCAAACCTTTTTATTTGTTTACTTTGAATTAATGGTGTGTGTGTGTGTGTATGTGTGTGTGAGTGTGTGTGTGTGTGTGTGTGTGTTTGTGTAAATGGTATATGTTTCTTGTCTGGTTAGAAGACAAAAAGACCTTGAAACATTTTTCTATGAGTGTGTGAGACACAAAATTGTGAAAGAAAGAGCTAAAATAAATATAAATTTCCCAAGCATATACCTGTTAAATACTAGGCTTTGTTGCAGATAAGTTTTATTTTATTTCGAGAAATGCTTATATAACCACGATAAGATAAATAACCTTCCAACAACTTTATAAATAAGCAATATGTGTCTCAGAAAATTAAGCAAGTGCATTACCAGGATTTTAGCCAAGTCAGTTTCAATGAAAAGGTAGAAAATGGCTAATAGCTTCACTGAAAGTCACTGCTTCTACTATTGGCTTTTTGTCAATATATAGCACATTTCAGGATTGCAGTGTCTCCCTCCCCATTTGTACAGAAACATTAATTTGCTGAAATAGATGCTGTTTTATTAGTAGTGATTTTCTCTTCTATAATTAGGTAACCTCAATCTTGATGTTGCATTTACTAATTTGGAATTTCAAACAATATTAGATAAAATAATATAAAACTAAGCTAAATGTTAAAATTACATAGAAATATGGTGTGCCTAGAATATTCTCTTAAGTTTTCAATTGTATTTGAATATCAAATAATGATTCTATGGAACTGCAAGTCATTGAATAAACAGATCTATTTTGAGATGCAGTTGACTCTTATCACAAGTATCTGACACAGATAGAATTCAAAGTGAGCAAGTATCTGAATTGCATTTGACTTTGACACACATAAAACTTTTCACTTCTTTTTCAAGTATTTTATCAAGCTATACTTTTGTGAAGTGGGTGTAGCACACCAGGTGATTCCATTTCAGTAATTATGATAGCCATAAAAGAAATATTGTTTCCTTTCTTTATAGCTTCAGAGAAATCTCAGGAGGAACAGCTGAAAAAGTAATGTCAGATTGATCTACAGGAGATGATTCAAAGGATCCTGCTGTTAGCGGGTTTTCCTAAAGAAGAATTCCCACAAGAGTTGACATATTTTTATTATAGTTCTTACACAGAGCTCTGAAACCCCAGTAATCGTTACTGAAATGGTCCTGTCGGCTCCATTGAACAAAACATTGAAAAGTATAGAGTTTATGGAAAAATATTATAAAATTTCTCATTTTCTCCAAACATTGGTGAGATATATCTTGAATGCCAAAATTTATTGCATAAATCTAACTTACTTGTGATAAATAGATAATTTGTATATTTCTGGATTAAGTATTCTAATAATATTCTAATAATGTTGCATAAATTTTTTCATACTATTTGTCACTTTTCTAAGGCTCTTTTATTTACAATATAATAATAGTATCAGGGATAAAAGGTTCAAAGTTCACATCAACCACCAATGTCAATTCTTCCATTAATATTAAATATTAATTCTTCCATTAATATTTCCTTCTCCCCTCACACCCCACTCACTTGATAAACTCGTTTTAAAGGTTTTATATTATGATTTGGGTCATATGTTTACAACAGTGTTTACAATTATGTTTTTGATATACCTTTCCTCTCCTCCCCCAGATCCAAGTCTCTCAAACAATGTCCTTAAGTCACTTCACATCTGACTCACGTTCTTCATCTCAAATTTGTAATCCATGCCCTATTTCTCCATACACCACAGGTGAGTGAGATTATCTGACAGTTGTACTCCCCATTTCTGCCTTGCTTTGCTTGATCTAATACTTTCCAGACCCTCCATGGTACGGTCTTTCCTTATGGCTGCATAGTGCCCCATGGTGTAGATATACCACAACAAATTTACACATTCATCTGTCACCAATCATTGCAGTTGTTTACTGTTAACACATGATTAATGTGCTAAGGGGACAATACACATAGATGTGAATGTGTATTTTCTAAGTGATGTTTCTATATCTGTGGGACAGGTACTAAGAAGTAGTATCACTGCTTAACATGGAAGCTCAACTCTTTCTTTTTTGAGGTTTTCATTTTGTTTTTCAAAAGCTGAACCAGACAATTTATCTACAAACACTGGTTGTATCCGATCCTTTTGCTAGATGTCATTCTCAGTGATGTGACATAATGACCTCAGTGACATTTTGATTTGCATTCTCCTAATAATAAGTGAAAAGAACACTTCTCCAGCGGCTTGTCAGCTTCTGCATCCTATTTTTTTTTTTTGGTAAGTGTCTAAGATGAACCACATTTTAATGAGGTTGTTGGGTTTTTGTTGCTGAGTTCTATGAGAGCTTTACATAATTTTTATGTTAGTTTTTTTTATC